AATAGCACAGTAAGCGGCAATTATTGCTAATACTGATCTTCTGATGTGAGATTCTCCCTTGTGTTCTGTGAATATGTTTTATTACCATTGGTTAATAAAGACGCTGCTTTGGCCTATAGCTGGGCAGAATACAGCCAGGCTGGAAGAGATATAGAAAGTAGGTGGAGTCAGAGAGACACCATGTAGCTGCTGAAGGAGAAGAACGCTGGAACCTCACTGGTAGACCACAGCCTCACAGTGATCCATAGATTAATAGAATTGGGTTAATTTAAGATGGAAGGGCTAGCTAGGAACATGCTTGAGCCATTGGCCAAATAGTGTTGTAATTATTAATATAGTTTCTACGTGATTACTTAGGTCTGGGCAGCTGGGAAACCAATGAGCGGTCTCCACTTACAATCTTCTACCATTACTCTTTTCTTGCCCCTTCTTGGCTTGTACTTGTCATTTGCTCAGCCACTGAGTCAAGTGTAGAAAAATGGAATGGTCTACAAATGTAGGCTTTGTCAATAGAGAGCTTAGGGCCTCATCTGGAAACCCTATTAGAAACACTTAACCAGATACAGCTACCAGAGGATGAGCCTGTGCTGGGCCCTGTGTTAGGTGAATACTGGAGCAGAAGTAAGCACAGCAGCAGCCTGTCCTTTCGATTTCAAATAAAGTTGGGTTAAGTCTCCACCCTAACCTATGTCAGGAAAGTTAAGTGTTTCCCTTAGATATTCTTGGAAATCTTAAGGGCTCAGAATCCTATGTGGTTCAGTTTAGGACTTCTAATAAACTTCAGAATTCACAACTTATCTATTCATTCTTTTTTTTATTTTGGTTTGGAAGATGACAGGAACCATCAGGAACATCATTGTTCCCTGATTCATGACTTTTAAAAACTCATTCATATGAAGGCCTTTGTAACTTACATAATGTATCAAGGTTTACACAAATGGAGGCATATGTTATACCAATAAAAACAATTAAAATTGATTACCAGATGTTCCATTGTCACTTGAAATTTCTCTGTGAACTCCAATGGCTATGTCTAGATTTATTCCTGCTCCTCCCTCTTATCTCTCATTTCTTGGTTTTTTTCTGGCTCACCACTAATCCATGCTCGTTCTTAACGAATAGCATCTTAGCTCCATCTCTGCTATATTCCACACGTTTTCACCAGATTCCTCCTCCCACTGTTTTCAGACCGAGTATCTTGGTTTTTCAGGGGTTGGCCTTGAACTTGAGATCTTTCTGTTTCAGTTCCCCAAGTGCTACAGACACAGACATGCACTATCATACCACAGGAAAGAAATTCCTTAAGCAAAGGCTTGATGTGAGCTGAGGAAATAATCATGTTTTTATTACATTTCCCTGGTATGAACAATCAGTATCGATCCATCAACATATAAGACAGGGTTGCTATACCTATTTCACACACGAGTAACCTGAAGCTAAGCTTCTAAAGTAACCCTGGGAGACCTAAATAAAATTCAACCCTGGTTCTTTTAAGTCTAGTGTTCTTTCCATTACCCAAAGATGTTGCTGGGAGAAAATATTTCAGAAAGTACTAAATTATGTATTAAGGACAACTAGAGAAACACACACACACACACACACACACACACACACACACACACACACACACACACACACATATATATTTAACACACCAGAGATGGTAGGAGGAGAGCTGCTCCCTGGTAGAAGAGCTCTTTGTGAGGGAAAGGAGTCTACCTGCTGTGGTCTACAGCCTCTTCCTCTGGCCAGTTTCCAGAGTTTGCACTGCAAAACTCTCTGTGAAGAGCAAAATCCCACCCCTACACAAAGCTACTATGTCACAGCATTCCTGAGCTGTTTCATGGAGATGCCACTTTGTAGTTCTAGTGAGCCACTTTTGTATTGTTTGGAAACCAATTTTGTTTTGAGGTCTCCCAGCAGTCTAAAGTGGATGTTGTTCCTATATATACTGAACAGAAGAAATCTGAGCACCAGAGACTCAATGTGATGTTTCCCATCTAGTAAGAGGCAGAAGTAAGAGGCTGGCTGGTTTCATATGCATGTGCTGTCAGTGAGCATCAGTCAAAGATGACGAAGAATACATCTGGAGTTGATAAAGCTAGGTTTGTCGTTCACTGCAGCAAAGGGACACATCCTATTCTCATCCACTGTCTGCATTTCCCCTCAAGTAGTGAGCAACAAACTAACTGTACCAAGCACAAATGTACTACTAGTGATCTTTGGCTGGAAACCATGGACAGAAATGGAGGCTGGGCAACATTCACCTGAACTATCTCTACCTTGGACCCACATCTTCCATTTCGTGACCAAAAGGTTTCATGTTGAAAGTTTAAGAAGGACACTGAGGTCAGGTAGACTGATCTTTTTATTAGAGATTTATTAGAAGCAATGGAAATGCTATAGACAGACAGAAGCATGGCGTGACTCTGGGGAGCGCTCAGCCCTGCACGGTGGAGTAGGGGTCTGGAAGTGGGGCATGGAGTAAACTGAAGTTTTCCTTTTCACTCTGAAATTGGCCACTGCTGGGATAATCAGTAAGCGCCCAGTTAAAGAACAACAGTAAATATCTTTCATAGCCATTATAACATAACACTAGCTAATAATGATCACACTTGAAATTCCTTCTATCTGCCTCTTTGAGATGACAGTCTGTCACATGCCACATGTATTGGAAGACTGTCCACAGTGAATTGAACTGATGTCCCATTGAAGTTCTTCATGTGGCTAATATTTTCAATTAACATCATTAATATTCAAACATAGTTAAAACCTTAAGATTATAACCTATTTTGCTTACATATTTGTGTATGCATAAGTTTATACGAATAAAGGTATAGTAAGTATTAATTTCCCATAAATTTTACAAGAATAAAGTATAGAAAGTAAAATTTCAACATGTGTCACTTTGACACAAAGTAAATGAATTATTTGACATCCAGATCAGTAAACCAAAAATTGATACAAAGGTAGCACTGTTTATTGCTGAATGGCTTTCCAATGTTGACTATAAATCTTTCTTATAGTATTTATGTCATATATCTTGTCTCTTACTAATAACGAGTCCTAATTTGACATCCCTCAAGTGGTTTGCGGGGACAATGTCCCTGATAGGTCCTGTATTTGAACAGCTGGTCGGCTATTGGCGGCACTGCTGGAGAGAGGCTAGTGAACCTTGGGAAGTGGACCCTTCCTTGTTGGAGAAAGAACATCAGCAGAGGGAGATTTTGATGGTTTAGAGCCTCGCCTCACTTACTGTTTGTTCTCACTGCTTCCTGTGTGTGGACAAAAACATTGGGTAGCTCCTGTCAGCATGCCATCCCTTCCCCTCCATTCTATGGATTCTAGCCTGCTTGAACCAGGAGCCAAAATCAACTCTTTCTTCTGTAAATTGCGTTTGATCATGGTGTTTTATCACAGCAACAGAAAGTTGCTAATTCACCTTCCTGACTGAAGAATAATACGATCACTACAGTATTTTTCATGCCTTAGCTTTCTTTGGGTTTTCTAACGTGGCCATTGAGATGACTAAATGATTTAAAACTTTACCCTATTAAAGAAAGAGTAGAAAGATAATTAGGGTTATCTAAGCTTCTCTTTGAGTTAAGTACAACTATTAAAAGAATTCTGTCTGTCATATTTAGTTTCAAAATAATCTGACGAATTAGAAGAATTCATCAAGCAGTTATAAGTATGCAAATAGAAACAGATTTCAGCGACTGCACACCGTACAAAACCTTACTGAGAATGTAAACACAAAGACTGTAAAATACGTGGGTGCCAAAATCTTTCTTGGGATTTTAGATCAAAACCTCTATTCCATTTCTATTTATACAGTTTCTGCATATGTGCTAAGAGTATTTATTTGATAAAAATGGTCAGAAGTCATCGCATATTTCAGGCTTTCAACAGATGCAGGAGAAAAGACACAGTTCCTTTTGTCTCAGAGCCATAAGAGCAACAGCAAACTGTGTAAAATCTTGAACTGGCTTAGGGCTAGCTTTCCACTCAACTACGGGTTCTCTACACTGTACAAATTCAGTGCTCCTGACCCTCATCACTCCTCAGCTTGTTGCCACACTTATGAAACTCCACAGTGCTCCTTCCACACTTTCTGCTCTGCTCTAAACATGAGTGCGTCCTCATCGTAGTCACTATATGAGCTTGTGCAGATCCTCGGAGACACTTCAGCTTGCTTTACGGGAACAGCTTAACTTTACTAAGAACTAACTAACTGGGGGAGGCAGAGCACTTATGTTCCAAATACAAAACGGTGGCTTCCATTCCCAGCACGGAAAGTACAATATTTTTGAGGGCTCACTCAATTTGTTATAGATGTTATTTTTTACTTCCAATACAGTCGATGTCTTTCCTTATGTATTCATCAGACATACTACATCCTACTTCATCCTGTAGGTTCTGAATACTTTTTAGAGACTATTAGATATTTTTAAAAACTCAGTCCTTCAGAGGACAGTGTCTCAGAAAACCTTTGCTGCTACTTGAGACAGGGTCTCACTATGAAGTCTCACAGGGAACTCTGTGTAGAGCAGGGTACCTCGAGTACATGGAGGTCCGCCTGCCTCTGCTTCCCAAGTGCTGGGATTAAAGACATATGTCACCACACCTGGATATCTATTTCTTTTAAAAAATTACCCCAAATATCCAATTACTTGCAAAGTGAGGCACACATGGGATTCTTTTCAGAACTCCCACAAGGGAAGCCCGATTTCCTCTTCATGCCCACTACACGAGCTGTGAATCTCATGGAACCCACAGGAATGGTTACTTCTGTCCCCTAGTAAAAGTCATAAATAACATTCTACTCTGAAAGCACAGCAAACTATTCTAAATTCAGAATCTATGCTTTGTATGAGCAGTCATATTGTCCTCACTTAACATCTTAACTAGTCAAGGGAATTATATGTCGTAACAAATAATTCTTGCCATTCATAGATGCTAAGAGATAAACAAAACAATTGAAAGTTTTGAAAACTTACGCAGGGATGAACTAACATATTCTGTCCACTTTCAAATGCTGTTGTATACCCACTGTTTTATGAAGGGGCTCAATATCTCATCCTGCAACATAAGGAACAGAAGAGACTAAGGTCATTCTAACTACAGACTATGTTCTGGAAACAAGATCTCAGTGGTGTTGAAGCTTGTCTATCACTAATTCTGGTCCTGCAGACTGCCTATGTTTACCCTAGGCCATAAGTGAGGAACTAGGACAGAAAAGCAGCAGCCCCTAACGCTAGAACTTCCCTAGCCATACCAGTTAGCTTTCGCTGTCCCCTGCTAAACAAAGTCACAGAATGTCAACATCAAATAAGGCCATTCAGTGTGTATAAAAGATCAAGACTATGGTGTAACTAGTTCTGAGCACAGACAAATATGAGCAACATTTAAAGCACAGACATGACTGAACTAACTGCTAACTTTGCTAATAGGAATGAGTGCTCCTTTATCTTGGCTTTCATATTTCTCCTCATAGCAGAACATTACCAAGATGTCTTATAGTGGAAATGCTTGCTTCCTGAGTAGAGACGGGGGATTCCTTCAGCTCATCAGCCTGCCAGCCTAACTGAATCAATAAGCTCCAGGTTCACTGAGAAACCTGTAACGGCGTAAATGAATGCAGACAGAGTGTAAAAATATATATATAGCTTTAATGTAGAAATAGACTTACAGAACCACCGTTCCCGCGGAGACCAGGAAAGCAGAAGCAAGCGCTCGGAGCTTGCTCGCCAAATTTATAGGCAGACATTAGCCCGAGGCGAACACGCCCCCTAAGGGGCGGGACTTATCCCTACATCTCCCCTTTTTGTCTAAATAAGACAGAACTAAACCAAATACAACTACATACAATAACAACAAATAATAAATATAACAAACAATATTGAGAACAAAAGCTTTGCTAAACATTCTATCTCAAGGAGTCCAAATAATGTAAAGAGTAACTACAATTATATAATCTTCAACTCAGTCAAAGATCTGAGAAGGGAATAAACACTACTCAACAAACGAGATATATCCAAAATGTGCAACAATTGACAGAGACAACTGACTACCTGGGCAATCACCCAAAGTCTCGTTTGCAACGTTGAGTCAACCAATTTTGGCTAAGGCCTAACATAACTGACATACCATTATTAAAGGCAAGGAACTTTTCAAAACTATCTTACCCTGTCTTGGCAGGATATGACAGTCCTGTTTTATCCATTGATGCATGCTCTGTATCTGTGTCAGTGGTTGAGGTATGGGCATTTCTTTGCCCAAAGGCCAGTTCTGCCAAAATAGAAAGGCTCCAGGTGGAGTGTTTTTGGTGCTCAACATTCTCTCGGGAATAGAGCGGTGTTGCCAGGAGCAATTGTGTCTCACTATAACGAAACTCTGAGTTAGATTAAAGGCCATATTCTACAGCTCTTTGAAGAGGTTGAAGATTATCTATCTATACTGAGTATAATCTCTATATATCTAAAGAACCTGATTAGTCTAATTATAAATGACAAACTTAGATGACAATTAGTCTATATAATTCTCAATATCTATCTAACTTAAAGACTAAGACAATAAACGACTGTGAAACAAATGAGGACAATGACCTCCAAATATAAACAATGTACAAATATACATTGCAGTAGGTAAATATATATCAATACACAAATATTATATAAGTATCTTAATCAGAGGTAGAAATGTACACTGCAATATGGTAAATATATACAATATATATATATATCAATACAATATATGTCAATACATAAAAATGTTTTAAACAGAGGTAGAAACATGCATGCGTACAATAGTCCATATAATTTAACTTTGTTTCATTATACAAGAATTGATACCAATATATTTGTCTAAAAGCAGTAACTCACAATTATAAATCTATTATCCCATCATTCCCTCTTTTTTTTTTTTCAAAATGATCCTTGAGCTTATAAAATTCCTCTCCCAACCCTCAATCATATACTAATTATAATCAACCCCTAAATGATGTCCCTAAACCCAAGGGCAAACTTTACTGGGAGAGGGGACGTCGTTCTCTAGAATTACTTCCAGCTGTCATAGGGGCGACGTTCTTTCTGGGGGATCCTGTGAAAGTAAAATGATGGTTAAATTTCAAGATAATGTCTTTTAAAATTGCAAATAGTCTCTGAGTATTTTCGTGCAGGTCTGGCCAAAATGTTGTATAAGATGTGCACCATTTCAGCTAACCAAGTTGGAACTGTCTTGTGCAGCTGGTACCAAAAGCAGGTCTTGTAGTAGCGCTATCAGTATCATGACGTCATATCAACCAGGTGGAGTTGTTGTTATGGGGCCCCATCTTCTTCCTGGAAACTTCAAATGTCACTTCAGGAAAAACTCATTGTTCATTATGAAAAACTTAAACATTAATCATATAGACATATATATATATATATATATATATATTCAATGAAAGACATGATAGATATATTCAATGAAAAGTATGATAGATATGAAGAGAAGCAAAGATGTTTTCTAAACTCATATTTCTTTCTGTCCCATATCATGGCTCTTGACATGAGACAGAAACTCCAGAAACTCTGGGTTTTTCTCTTACTAACAGGCTTGGAATTGGAGAGGGACTGAGCCAGAGTCCAACTTCAAAACCAGCTTTATAAATTTAGAAATATGGTTTAATATTACTTACACAACCCATTCAGTTGTCTTGATATTTCCTATTGGGCAGGTATTTTTCCATCTGTCAGTATCCAAACATCCAGGGTCCCTTGAATTTCTCAAAGATGAGTGTTTTCCTGTGGAGATAAGAAACAGAACCCTGCCCCCATTTTATATGTTTTTCTTACCACCTGTATGAATATCATCGTTGTGGATGAGTTGTCATTTCTCCTTTCCAAGAGGTTTCTCATCTTCAAATCGAAACTTTATTAATTTTGATGGTATCCACAATTTTTCTTCTCCTGTGGAAACAAGAGCAAAACCCCTTCCCCAACGTAGCACATCTCCTGGCTTCCACTGAGAGGTCAGCACATCTTTGAAATAAATTGGTTGATTTAGTTCAGCAGACTTTTCCATTATCCAATGTCTTTCTGCTGCTGTCGTTCCTTTCTCATTAGCGTTAAGAAAATTCAAGGTTAATAAAGCATTATGTAATCTATTTCTGGGGGTATTTTCAGTCCCTTTCTGTTTGTTCAGCATATCCTTTATAGTACGATTTGATCTTTCTATAACTGCCTGACCTGTAGGATTATTTGGTATACCTGTAATGTGTTTTATATTATAATATTCAAAAAAGCGTTTCATTTTCTTAGATACATATGCTGGACCATTATCTGTCTTTATTTGCGCAGGTATACCCATGATGGCCATAACTTCCAATAAATGTGTGATTACTGAATCAGCCTTTTCTGAGCTCAGGGCAGTAGCCCATTGAAAACCTGAATACGTGTCTATGGTGTGGTGTACATATTTTAATTTGCCAAATTCTGCAAAGTGGAACACATCCATCTGCCAGATTTCATTCCTTTGGGTGCCCTTTGGATTAGCCCCTGCAGGCAGTGGCGTTTGGTTATAGAAAGAGCAAGTAGGGCATTTCTTTACAATCTCCTTAGCTTGTTGCCATGTAATTGAGAACTCTTTCTTCAAACCTTTGCTATTAACATGATGTCTTTTATGAAATTCAGAGGCTTGTAGCACACTACCAATCAATAATTGATCAATTTCTGCATTACCTTGTGCTAGAGGACCTGGCAGACCCGTATGGGATCGGATGTGTGTTATGTACATAGGGCAAAGCCTGTTCCTGATCAAATCTTGAACCTGGAGGAACAATGAGGTTAGTTCAGTATCATCAGGTATAAATTCAGCAGTTTCAATATGTAAAATAACTCTTTCTGCGTATTGTGAATCTGTAACTATATTAATAGGTTCTTTAAAATCCCTTAGCACCATAAGAATGGCATATAATTCCGCCTTCTGGACAGAAGTATACGGACTTTGTTCCACCTTATCCAAGTCTTCTGATTTGTAACCTGCCTTCCCTGATTTATTGGCATCAGTATAGAATGTACGGGCTCCAGTTATTGGAGCATCACGGACGATTCGAGGAAGAATCCAAGAAGTTCTCTTTATGAAGTTAAGCCGCTTGCTTTTTGGATAGTTGTTATTAATGTCTCCCAAAAAATTAGCACAAGCTCTTTGCCATGGTTCATTATCTTCCCATAATTTCTTTAGTTCATCAGCAGTGAAAGGCACTATAATTTCTGCTGGGTCTATGCCTGCTAGTTGACGAAGTCTCAGCTTGCCTTTTATAATTAACTCAGAGACTTTTTCCACATAAGTTTTCAGTTTCTTACTTGGTTTATGTGGTAAAAAGATCCATTCCAAAATAATATCATCTCTCTGCATTAAAATTCCTGTAGGAGAAATTTTTGATGGTAGTATGACGAGAATACAATCGAGCTCTGGATTCACCCTGTCCACATGTGCCTGTTGTAATTTTTCCTCAATCATTGTCAGTTCCTTTTCTGCTTCAGCTGTTAATTCTCTGGGACTGTTTAAATCCTTATCACCATCCAAGGTTTTGTTCAAATGAATTATTAAATCAGGTGTTATTCCAATAGCTGGTCGTAGACTGGAAATGTCTCCTAACAGTCTTTGAAAGTCATTAAGAGTCCGTAGGCGATCTCTCCTAATTTGTGCTTTTTGTGTCTTAATTTTTTGCAAACCTATTTTATAACCTAAATAATTAACAGAATCTCCCTTCTGAATCTTTTCAGGAGCTAATTGCAATCCCCATTTAGGTAAAAGTATCTTTATTTCTTCAAACAGTCTGTTCAAGGTATCCATGTTTGAATCGGATAACAAGATGTCGTCCATGTAATGGTATACTATAGATTTGGGAAATTTCTTGCGTATTATTTGTAATGGTTGGTTCACAAAATATTGGCACAGGGAGGGGCTATTTAACATACCCTGGGGGAGAACGGTCCAGTGGTACCTCCTCGAAGGTTGAGAATTGTTATAAGTAGGCACTGTGAAGGCAAATTTTTCTCTATCTTCTTTTTGCAAAGGTATAGTGAAAAAACAATCCTTTAAATCAATAACTATGAGAGGCCATCCTTTTGGTAATAAAGAGGGCAAAGGAATTCCAGATTGCAGAGGGCCCATAGGTTGAATAACCTTGTTGATGGCCCTGAGATCTGTCACCATTCTCCATTTACCTGATTTTTTCTTAACCACAAATACAGGAGAATTCCAAGGGCTGGTAGATTCTTCTATATGTCCAGCATCTAATTGTTCTTGTACCAGCTGTTCTAAAGCCTGTAACTTTTCCTCAGCTAAAGGCCATTGCTTTGTCCATATTGGTTTCTCAGTCAACCATTTTAGAGGCAAGGCTGTTGGTATCTCTGAAGGGACATCAATTGCTTGTTCTTTTACAGCCCGAATGGCCGGTTTTCTCAGTTTGTAATATCTTTTAATATTATTCTCAGAAATATAGGCTCTAGATTTAGCAGGAATGTTAATTTCAGTATTCCATTGTTGTAATAGGTCACGACCCCATAAATTCATTGCAATATTGGCTACATATGGCTTTAATTTTCCTATTTGTCCCTCTGGCCCTATACATTCAACCCATCTCGTGCTCTGCCTTACTCGAGATAGGGTTCCAATTCCCAGGAGCTGAACATTTACATTCTGAAGAGGCCAATACGGATGCCAAGATTCTGGGGTAATGATACTTACATCAGCACCTGTGTCCAGCAGGCCAGTAATAAAAATGCCATTTACACACACTCTCAGTTTAGGTCTTTGATCATTTATAGAAGTTTGCCAAAACACACGTAACTTATCTTTCTGATCATTATTGCTTGTAACAGTAGGCATGGGGCTTCCTAATTGTCCTGATGAGGCACGTTCTCTGCAGAAACTGGATATGACTGAACCATGTTTGCCATGGGGGCCTGTGAGGCCCCCCCTCTCACGTTTCCCGGCTGTATCAGGTTGCCTTGTCTATCTCTTGTAGACCTGCATTCATTCGTCCAATGTCTGCCCTTTCCACATCTTCTACATAAACCTGAAGGCTGAGTCCTCCTATTTCTGTTATTTCTAGAAGATGCATTATTATTATTATTATTTCTGAAAGATGCATTATTATTATTATTATTTCTGAAAATCCGTTGTTTACAATTCCTTTTAATATGACCCATTTTTCCACAATTAAAACATTTGGTATTCTGGTGTCTCCTTTTACCATTGGAAATTGCTTCTTCTACCCATGCTTCAGTGCCATAATCAAATGTATCAACATTGAGTGTATGCAAGACCCATTCTTCCAACGGTGCTGATCTGAGCTTTAAAGGACCCAAAATCCTTTTGCATTCCACATTTGCATTTTCATAAGCCAAAGACTCAATCATTATACGTCTTGCTTCTGGGTCAGATATTCCTATTTGTACAGCCTTAGTTAATCTTTGTAAAAAGTCACTAAAGGGTTCTCTCTGACCCTGTTTAACTCTGACAAATGATTCCATTCTCTGTCCTGGGTCTTGTACCCTGTCCCAAGCCCTTAAGGCTGCTGTAGTACACATGGAGAGTGTGTTTTCATCCAAATTAGCTTGTTCCTGAGGATCAGAAAAGAGCCCTTCACCTAGAATTTGATCTAGGGAAATGTCAATTCCCTTCGCTTTTTCCTGCTGTTCTAAGAGTCTAGCCTCTTGCCTGAATAAGCATTTCCATTTCAATTGTGGTCCACTCTCCAGTACCGCAGAGCTCAGCTGGAGCCAGTCTGAGGGGGTTGCTCTGCTTGTCGTGGCCCAAGATCTTAGCATCTCCTTAACAAAAGAGGCTTGCATCCCAAAAGTCATGACAGCCTGTTTTATTTCCTTGAGATCATTCATACGCACAGGTTCCCATGTATCCTCCTTGATGACCCTAGGGTTTTTGGAACCAATCACCTTCTCTGTTGTTATTACTGGAAAGGCAGGTAGAGCTGTAGGTAGAGCTTTGTGGAAATTGTCCCGGAGAGACTTACCCACAGATGTAGTTAAAATTTTCCTTTCTACCCTTTGCTCTTCCTCATCAGAATTTAGAAATTCCTCAATCTTTTCAATTCTATTCACCATTGCTTTCTGCAATGTCTGAATCTCCTGTCCAGAATTATGTTCCAAAGCCTTCATTGAGGATTCTAAAATATGAAGTTTGTCCGTTAGAGATAACATCTCATCTTTGGACATAATTTTTATGGCATAAACCGTGCCTTCTTGTATTGACAATCTTTCCGTCAATCTGTCATAAGCTTTAGACAAAATCCGATTGTCACATTCAGCAGTTTTGATTCTCTCAGTTAATGTTTCATTTCCTACAGAAAGGGACTGAATCTTATGGTCCAGATCAGCTGTTCCCTCTTCCATAGTAATGAATTTCTCCTTAACATCAGCCTGAAGAACTTCAACCTGATTCTTGAGAAGATTGTTATCAGCCTGGAGAACTTCAAACCGATTCTCGAAAAGATTGTTATCAGTCTGGAGAACTTCAACCTGATTCTTGAGAAGATTGTTATCATTCTCAATTGTTTTTAAGCGTTCAATCTCTACCTTAAGAATCCTGGATTCGTCTCGTAAAGACTTTATCATATTTCTATTATCAAACCATTTGGTGCCAATGAAAACTACGAATCCCAGAAGGATCCATATATGTGGGGTGATAGACACCTCTTGTAAAATCTCCCACATGGTACAATTAAAAAAATCATTAAATTCTTGAATAGTAATGTGTTCAGACATTTTATTTATAAAAGAAAATTTTTTTACCTGCAAAGATCGGTTCCTGCCAGTGGTGGTCTCTGTGTTTTTGGAGCCTGTCCTAGAACTAGCTCTTGTAGACCAGGCTGGCCTCGAACTCGTGATCCTCCTGCCTCTGCCTCCTTCAGCAAATCCTACCGGCGTGCGCCACCACAACCGGCCAAGTCACTTTGTAACAGACCAAATCTGACGCTGTGGCAGCTTTTGTTGCAAAACCGCAAGTACTTGAGCTTCTGCTAATTCAGGCAGTGGGGTTCCGCTGCAAAACTTAGCCAAGGCAGGCAGAATGGGCCTGTGTCGCGAGTGTGTCTCGGACTGGGCACTGGGGCCGGAGTCACGAACTGAAAAACAGCACCGGGGAGGGTGCTGTGTTAGCTAGCGGGCTACCCGCTTGAGTCGGGGGCAAAATAGCCCGAAGTTGGACGCCAAAATGTAACGGCGTAAATGAATGCAGACAGAGTGTAAAAATATATATATAGCTTTAATGTAGAAATAGACTTACAGAACCACCGTTCCCGCGGAGACCAGGAAAGCAGAAGCAAGCGCTCGGAGCTTGCTCGCCAAATTTATAGGCAGACATTAGCCCGAGGCGAACACGCCCCCTAAGGGGCGGGACTTATCCCTACAGAAACCCTGTCTCAAAAACTAAAGTCTGGGGAGTTGGCTCAGTAGGTAAAGTGCTTCTGTGCAAATGCAAAGAACACTGTTTGGATCCTCAGCACCCAAGGAAAAGTTGGGCATGGTAAGACATGCATGCAACCCCAGAACTAGGGAACAGACAGGCTTACTAACCAGCCACCCTAGACAAAATGGTCAGCTGCAGGTTCAGTGAGAGAACCTGTCCCAAAGATTAAGGTGTGAAAGCAATTGAAGAAGATATCCTGACATCAGCTGCTGGCCTCCATACACATGAGTGAGCACACCCAATGCACATGCATATACAACATATATGCACATGCATGCATTGTGGAAACATAAGACACACATACAGAGGCATACACAAATGCACAGATAAAGTGGGTTGCGATCTGTATACCCATGCATACACATATGCATCCATGCATACATAGACAAACATAAAGTGCACACATTCACAGGGGGATGGGAGAAGAAGGGAGGGAGGTGAAAGAGAATAGACATGCTTTGAGACTCTGCTTCCTGAAAGCAATCAACCTAGAGAAAAGTCCTGTTCCTGCCCAGAGGCCCTCCTCACCATTATATTAAGACAAACCCAAATCCTATATGACATCCCTAATGCTATCTCACTAGGGTATAACCTAATTCTCCCTTGCTGCAATGAGTAACACATCTATTACTTCACTTTTACTGCTTCTCATTTTACAGATAATTAACACAAGACCCTAAATTTAAATCTCTTCTTCAAATTATTAAGCAAATAAATAAAGAAACCCATGCAAAAACTCAGGATTTGCTCTTTGCACTAGGTTACATAGCCTTTAGAAGACTGTATAAATAGAAGTTCTATTATGTTCCTGGCAGCTCCTCAAAAGACAGTTTCACCTTCTGACAAGTTACATCGCAAGCTTCTACTATACCTTCAATGAATGGCCTTGCCAGGGGCTGGAAAGATGTCTTTGTGATTGAGTGCATACTGCTCTTCCAGAGGACTCAAGCTCAATCCTCAGCACTTATATCAGATGGCTCCCAACTTCCTGTAACTCTACTGTAGAGAATCTGCCACATTCTTTTGTCGTCTGTGGGTACCTGCTCTGTTCCCATATGCACCGCCACCTATTTTTTTAATTAAATAAGAAAAAAAAAATCTTTAAAAAAGATTGTCCTCAGCAATTTAAAAGCTCAAATTAGCCTTGATCATAGTAGTGGGTCATAGTAGTGAGATATATTTATATAGCCATATGCAGAAAATGTGGTACATAAACACAATGAAATTTTATTCAGCAGTGAATAAAAATGAAGTTATGACATAGGAAGGAAAATGTAGGGAACTGGAGAACATAGGAAATGAAACAAACAGGATGTAAAAAGACAAATGCTGCACGAGTTCTCCATATGTAGAATTAAGGGTTAAATCTATATTACGGACACAGTCTGTATTTTTTAAAAAGGCACCTCCTTCCAGCCCCTCCAAACATGTGTGTTTAGGACATGGAAACTGAAAGGGAACTATGAGAGGGGAGAAAGAAAACTAAATGAGGAAGAGGAAGACAAGAGGAGGCAATGGAATGAATGGAACATTAAAGCGCAAGGGGAGGACCTTGTGAGAGGAAGGGACCAGCAAAGGGGTAGACAGGTGGGAAGGGCAAAGGGGGCAAGTAAGAAAAAACACAGGCCGGGTGGTGGTGGCGCATGCCTTTAATCCCAGCACTGGGGGATGGGGGGGGGCAGAGGCAGGCGGATCTCTCTGAGTTCGAGGCCAGCCTGGTCTACAGAACTAGTTCCAGGACAGGCTCCAAAGCTACAGAGAAACCCTATCTCAGAAAACCAAAAAGAAAAAGAAAAAAAAAAACCACAGTAACATTTATCAGGAAAATGTTACAATAAACCTGGTGTTTTTTTCTAATCAAAAAACTGGAAAGTGGCTTGTGTGTATACATATATGCATGTGTGTGTACATACACGCATTCATGTTCTGTGTGTTATGGTCTGAGATTCATACTGATGTGTTGCCTGATTTCTTTGGGAATTTCATCTGGCTAACAGAGTTACTGTGAGCATGTCTGCACAGTACATAAACAGGAAAAGCTCTTTTCTTCAGGTCTCTTCGGGGCTGGTGCTGAGAGAGGTTAGGAGCTCTGCAGGCCGTGGTAAGGCTGCTGCTAGCTCAGCACAGGACTTTCCAGGGAGAAGGAAGGGAGGGGCCAGAGCTACCACTGCAGAAGGTCTATTTGGTGCTGATGGAGGAGAATTACAGCTAGGCTTGCAACAAGGACTGAGTGAATCCTCTGCTGGCAGGCTGCTGGTCACTTTGTGATAGACACGGGGACAGGGGGCGGGGGGGGGGGTTAGGAAGAAGTGTAAGACATGACTTCTGCTCTGTGCAGCTTACCTTAGACTCCTGCCTGCCCCAGGGAAAAGACTTTCTCGTCTCTCCTCCCCAACTGGGAAGAGTATTGAAATGCTGAAAGAAGCTCTCCTGGTAAGAGGGAGGGAAGGTGTACGGGCTGACTAGGCATGAAGCCCAGGCATGGGGTTCCTACTTAGGTGTCAGGATTCAGTGACCTAGGGTAACTGCCGTGCACAAAAGTTTCCACAGTCAGGGAGGAATACGGGGAGAGGAACAGTCTATTCAGCAAGCCTCAGGGACAGTAATCTGAAATGTGCATTAGGAGAGGGAGGGCAGGCTGCCTAGAGGCTGCTTTTATCTCCATCTCCCTTATTTGGATTCTTTGGTTTGGTTTGGCTTGGTAAGCAGGTGGTCACTTACACTAGGGTAGAACTGATGCCCCCAGCCACCCATGCTTTCAGGTGTTACGAGGGAGCCATTGGGGACCGAATTATTTCAGATACAGTCTTGAGACTCAGGTGGGAGAGTGGTTGTTGTGGACTCCCTAAGACCATACTCAAGACCTTCCCATAAAGGCACTGTGGTCGTAAGGCCAGGGGCTGGGCTAGGCCAATCGCACATGCAGAGGCTCTAATAGGAGATCCTCTCCTCTTAAGGTCATAGACTAGTACGTTCCTTGGCATGGCTCTTTTATTAAAGAATCGGAGAGCACCACAGATAATGAGAGGCATGGGATAGCTAGGATGACCCATGTGTTCCAGAGATTTCACCCTCCGGACTTCAGTCACAAAGTTTGGAGTGGAGGGCTGACTTTGTCCATCTGGACTAGTAGTCTATTGTTTATCTCTGAGCCACCACATGCAGCTACCAATGTGGATTCTGCTCCTACCGGTGGAAAGCTCCAACCTCAACAAAGACACAATTCTTCATTGTCTTTCTCCAGCAGCCCAGCCTATGCAGTTTGCATTTATTTTTCAATGTTCTATTTGATATTCACATATGTATATAATGTGTTTTGATCCATCCATCTCCAATTCCATTCCCTTTAATTCCTATCCTATCCCTTCTACCACTTTTCCCTTCCGACCTCAGATGCTTTTTTTTTTTAAAAATAAAACTTAATACCCATTGAATTCATGTAGTGCTGCCTATATGTATATGAGTCTGGGGTCATCTACTGGAGAACAGTAACTTCAAGGTTCACATTGCCAAAGAAAGGTGACTTTCCCCTTCAGCAACCATTCATTTATCAATAGCTTCTCAGCTAGGCCTGGGGACTCATGAGACCCTCCCCCATCCATACTGGATTTGGCTGGCTTGCTCTTATGAAGATAGTTTGCATTTTAAAAGGAACCTAGGTAGGGCATATTGGGACAGGCCTTTAATCCCAATACTGGGGAGGCAAAGAAAGGTGGATCTCTGTAAGTTCAAGGCCAGCCTGGCCCAGTATGACCAGAGTTACACAATGAGACCCTGTTTTAAAAAAATGAAAAAAAAATTGTCAATAAAAACCCAGTGAGAATATTCCCAAAGCATTGATAAGTTTTATCAGAGCTCCTCACTGGAGGGAGAAGAATTCCCAAAGTCTGTTTCAGAGAACAGACATTTCCATAGAATGGGGAAAAGGTGAGACCCCCTTGTTAAGGAGATGGCTGGCTTATCTTCAGAATCTGAGTAGACTTCTTTCAGTCCTGTCCAGCCCAAGGAAATAAAGAGTGCATGCCTATCTTGGTTACCTTTAACTGTTAACTTGACACAGCCTTGAGTCACACCCTAGAAGATACTCTCAACTGACGTATTTCCCAGATCATCTGACTTGTGGGCCTGGTGTGGGGGACTGTCTTGATCGGTAATTGCTCTAGGAGGACCCAGCCCACTGTGGGACAATGGAGCAAGGGCTGCAAGAGAAAGCCAGCTAAGGTGGGTATGTGAACGAGCCATCAAGTGGCAGTCCTCCATGATCTGTGCTGTGCTTCCTTGACTCTGCATTCCCCATTAGAGGTAGGTAGTGATGTATGGAATAGCAAGAAGGCCTGCCTTCAGGTTAATGCTGGACTCCTGTTTTGATTTCCCTCAATGACAAGACTGTGACTGAAAACTAAGCCAAAAAAAAAAATCCTTTCCACTCCTAAGTTGCTTTTTAGTAGTGGTGTTTGTCACAGCCACAGAGTTGAAAGTAGAACAGTATGCCTCCTCTGAATTCTTTCTCATCAGCTGTGAGAATTTAGAGTACACAGCAAAGAACCCCAAAGATATAAAATGTAGCCAAGCAATACTATGGAAAGACCTTGGTCCCAGAATTATGTAAAGATTAAGGCCTACCATGTCACCCATCTCTTCCCTTTCTAGGCAGCACTGGATTGCGACTAGACTATAAAGTCACTACCGATATCTTATTCACCTATGACCAATGCAATCAGGACACTATATTTTTTTTCCTGTGGCTTCCCCTAGGAAAAAGCTTTTTGAAGTGTTTATCCTCCCTGAGGAATGGCAGTGTAGTACAATGAGTACCAAATATAAGTTAGACAGAATTGTATTCAAATCCCAATGCACCCAGCTGTGAAGGCAATCGACTGTGTTTGTGTTGTTTGATTTAAAAGTGAAGGTGTTAATGACCAGCTGAGTGAGCTGGTGGAAAGACTGAATGAGACTGTGTGCAGAAAGTGCCTGGCACACAGCAGCTGCTCATTGGAAGAGTAACGATTATCATTTCTAGGAAGCCCTGACATGCTAAGTGATGCCTAATAAAAATAATAGTTCTGTAGTTCCTTCCAAAATCCTGATAACAAAGTGATTAGACTTGGCATGCACTTGCCTCAATTACCGCCTTTCCAGATCCCTCCTGGGTAGTGTCTTTAAAGCAGCATCTTCCTTTACCTCATCCTTAGAAACTAGTTGATGCTCAATGTTCCATCCTCTTCTTGTTCCAGACCAATACAAAAACCCAAGTGAAGCTACACTCTACTGAGTACCTGCCTCCTTAGAAGGCCTGGCAGGGTTAATTGTGTCTCTTCTAGACACAGGCTGTTGGCTTCCCTGGCATGCTCTGAGCTGACCCCTACGGCTGGAATAGGCTCTGTTGCTCCCCTTTTTTTCTTCGGGCTCTGAACACTGAGAGTGTTGTTCAGTCTCACGCTCGCATCACTGCTCGGGGATCAGCTGTGGACGGAGTGTCAGCCAACACAATGCCACTGAGTGGAGCAGAAAGACACAACTTATATGACTACTGCAGTCAGAGAGCCCGAAGGAGACTGGTTACTGCAAAACAATTCTGGTAACAAGGGGAGCACTCGTCAAGGGTGCAGCATGACAGCTGTGTGCAGTGGTTAAGAAAAAAAGGTTGAATTCATACTCATCTACCTTTTCCTAGAGAAAGCACGATGAATGTTTATTTTCTTGTCTTGTAAGAATTTTTAAAGTTTTATGTTTTAAAAGACAAGCTATTAAATTTATTCCTATCCCCCCATTCTCTCCCCCTCCAAATCCTCCTGATCCCCCTACCATTCTTCTCTCTCTTTTTAAAAACCCCACTCCGTTCACTTAGTGTTGCCAGTATGTGGATAACTGGCCATCTACGGGAGCATGACATTTGTTATGGTGACAGAGATCAACTCTAAGGTGCCTTACTTACATATTAGGCTACAACCTGAAAAAGTTCTGTGACTGTCTAGCTTTAGTCCCCAATGCTTTCCTTTTCCTAATCTCTCTCTCTCTCTCTCTCTCTCTCTCTCTCTCTCTCTCTC